GAATGATAATATTGTGGGATTTGTAAATATAAAATCATAATTATACGTTGTAATCCCTTACTTATTTACATAGAAGTAAAAAAAAAAAAAAAATAATAATAAAGAAAAAAAAATAAAGAAAAAAATCTGGACAAAAAAAAGAAAAAAAAAACCTCTGCTTTTGTAGAGAATATATATGTAATCTTTGAGGAAGTGAATTTAAATGATAATCTTTTCTTTTTTCATATGGATTTTTTTTTTCAAAATGAGGGTGACTCAATGGGTGACAAAGCTTTCTAGTGGCTAATTTAAAAATTGATAAAAGTTAATGAGGATATCCTGTTAGGAAAAAAAAAAGGGGACAAAAATTAAGAAAAACAACTTTCTTGCAATCATTGGTCAGGCCGTCTCAAGCCAAATCATCTTATATAGAGAAAACATATTGTTAAAAAAAAAAAAAAAAAAAAAAAAAACTGAGGTTTGGTCAGATTTCATGAAGTGGTTAGAGCTGAGAATTTTTTCAAAAACTCCTTTGTATTAAATTTCACAAATAAAGATAAAAAACAATCTATTTAAAAAAAGAAAAAAAAGCCATAGAGTTTTAAAGACGCACACAATTTTTTATGAACAACATCAGAACCCTCATTTTTTAATTTGATTCACTAACATAGATGATCTTTTGGAGATGTTACTTCTCTAAGATTGTTCAGGAGATGGCAAGATGAAAATCCATGGCTCACATGTATCCACCATGCTAAGACATTAACAAAAATTCTACTTTAAACTTTTTAAGACATTTTTCAATCTTCACACAAAAAAATTATTGTACAAGTCTAAATGAGAAACTCCATCCAAAGCACAACATGACAATCCCCTGAGACAGACGATTGGTGGCAAATGAAAAATAGATGCAAATTATATTTATGAAATAATTTGTGTAATTGAATATCAATTGCACTGAAACTGGCAATGAATGGAGTTTGGGTCAATTTTTAATTACTATATTTGATAAGATCCATGCACTGCGAAAATATTTTTCTAAAAAAAAAAAAAAAAAAAAAAAAAAAAAAAAAATCTTCATGAGATTAAATTATCTTACTATAAAAGTTATCCTTACCCAGTTAATATTCATCAAGACACCCTAGACTACCAACAATTGTACCTTGTGTAACTTCATAAGCTGTTAATATTAGTGGAAATGGAAGGAGGTCCTTTATGCTGTCAAATGTCATGTGTAATTAATGAAAATATAAATCACGATAAAAAGGAAATGTTAAGTTTTTTTTTGTTCCCAATAATGTAAGTAATATTAATTCTAAGTAGATATACTCAGACGATTAGAGTTTGAAATAATAGCTCCAACTTAATTATTTTTTTTTTATTATTATCAAGGCCAACCGCAATTGGAATGTTAGTCATTTTAAACTTCATGATCCTTTCATTAGCTGCATTATAGAATGTGCTTCACTAGGGGTAAATATGGTTTTTGAATTCAGAGTTTTTCTTCACCTAGACTAGCTGCCAACCAATACTAGAGAGATCGGTCTGTTCTACTATTTAATCCATAGCTGGGTGTAAAAAGATGAATTCATACCTTTCCCCAAGGTATTTGCCTGAAAGTGAATGTAATTTGAACTCAGTTCTCCAATTTCTGGTTCAATTTAGTAATTTTCTAATTCTGTGGTTAATTACTCATTTACACTGTTTAGAGCAAAAAAAAAGAGTAGGAAGGTATGGAGAACCATGACCATTCACATCCTTGAAATGATATGGCATATAGAAGAAGGAGATATACAGGTAAGAACTTGGCTTTTCATATCACTGGTATTACATTACTCTTTTCATTAAACCATTTGCAGTCAGGTCGATAGTGTCATCGTAAACTCAACAATCCTTTCATTAATTATCTGCATATAGTATGTGCTTGCCAGGGCTACATATAGGTTTTTAATTCAGACTTGTCATTCTCCTAGACTGACTGTCAACCAAGGCTGAAGAGCCCAGTCTGTTTTATTATTTAACCCATAGCTGTGTGATGAGAGAGAGGGATTCATACCTTTCCCAATGGTATTTGTGCATAAGTGAATGTAATTTGATTGGAATTTGAACTTGGTTCTTCAATTTCTCATTCAGAGCCACTATCCATTACACCACCTACACACCCAACTTAAATATACATTTACCACTAGTGAGATTCATAAAAGGCTATTGAAGCCTTGAAAATGATGTCCTTTCCTTTGCTCACCTTCATCTTGTTTTAATTTATATTGAATATTTTAACAATAAATACAGCAAAAGTTTGTTTTTTTAAATGTTTAAATGTTTTCATGATTCAAATTTAGAAAGTACAGATGATAATATGAACATAAACACAAAAAATAAACCCATGCACTGAATTTAAATGATTTCTTACAAAGTTAAACTAAACTTCTGCTGACCACCAATCAAATGAAATTTAATATATGCAGAGTTGGCTTTAGAAGTTGCAGTGTTCAACTGGAAACATTTTTTTTGCAGCAATCCCCCCCCCGCCCCGTTTTATAGTCAAAGCTGATGCAGAAACTGTTAAATGTATGTTTGTATATTTGTCTTTAACCTTGTCACAGAAAATTATATGAAAACAATCTACTTCTGTAGATTGAATAAAGTGTTCACTTTGAAATCCTCTGAAGGTTACTCTCATCAACAGACACCTGAAGAAGGCCAGATGGGAGAGTGTACGAAATGGTATGATTGTAACAAAGAAGATGAGGACATCAGTTTGACTGTAAATAATGATAATTCCTCAGACAGAAATTCTGTTCTGTAATATATTTAGAATATATAAAATATTTTTTTATATATTAGGAAAAAGAAGGTATCAGTTTCAAAACTAGGAGAGATATGGGTTCAGAATTTAGAAGAAAATTAAAATTTAAAAACTTGCAATATGGTGTTAGGTTTTATGTTGCAATATGCTGTAGCATGGATTAAATTAGATTACTCTAGAGTGGGGGGGGGTCTTGTTAGATGTGAGGCTCAGTTGGGAACAATGGGTTCAATTGGTTTAAAGTTGACCTGAATATATGCACAGATGAAACCTAAAACTGCTGAGAGTACTAATATATATATATATATATATATATATATATATAGATAGAGAGAGAGAGAGAATGAGAGATAGAGAGTTTAGCATGCTCTCATTCACTGATTGAGCACTATGGAGAAAAGGGAATTTTATCAACTACTGCTGCTCTAATGCATCACTATGTAAGAATTGAGCGCTATGGCAGCTGGTATGGCGTTTATATAGCATGTATATAGTGTGTTACAAAATTCCCTTTCTCTACCATGCGCCGATAGCCTAGGGGTAAGAATCTTTCACCGATGTCAAATCAGTTGAGTTTTGATCCTGTCTTAAAGCAACTGCATGTCTAGCCACAGCAATGAGTACAGGATTGGTGTAGATGGAATAAAATTCCAATAACCAAAAAAAACACTATTCTTAAAAGTGTGTTCCTTACAGAGTAGAACAAATATTATTTATTCCCAAATTATAACATTAACATGTTATAAAACCACTACAAAAATAGCCATTTTGTTTCAACACTTCTGGTGAAGGACATTCAACACCATCACTTGAGAAGACACCAGAAGTGTTGAAACAAAATGGCTATTTTTGTAGTGGTTTTTTGTTAATTTATAAAATTATATATATATATATATATATATATATATATATATATATATATATATATATATATATATATATATATGTATATATTCATTCAGACAGTACTGTTTCGCTTTATCAGTTAGTGTGTGCGACTAGACAACTGAATGCCTCAAGCCCGGATGGAAACCCAACCTATATATGTTTTCCATCAGAACTCATCTAAACACACACAATACCTACCAGACGCTATCCGAAACATACTAGTAGAAAATACAAGCGTAATAACCTCACCCACATGCAAAAAAGATTAAAAATAATGGAAGCCCTAATAATAAGAAAAAGCCAAAACTCAATAACATTAACTATGAACATTGCCACAATGTGCTGTCTGTATTTGGAAAACAAAACATCCCCATAACTCTAGATACATACATAACACAACCTACACATTCAGTTTAAAGTGAAAATAAAATCATTCTTGATAATGGCTAAAAATATAGCTTAAAGAAAAGAAAATGCTTGTATGAACACAAGAAAAATTAAACAAAAAGCTTAATCGCAGACAGTACCTTGTCAGTCATCTTTAACAAAATATGTATAAATTAGATATTGCTGCCTGAATATATATGAAGAAATATAGTTTTATGGTGTGCAATATTTATGGGATAAAGTGCTCAATATCAGAGATAGAGCGTATGTAAACATAAATATATAAGTGAACATTGAAGTCAATGCTCAGAGGCGACAGGCTGTTTCATACTAGGCGCAATCGTCAGGCTGAAACAGCCTGTCACCTCTGAGTGTTGACTTTAATGTTCACTTTTATATTTGTTTTTATATATATATGATAAAACAGTTTTATGTTATGCTATATTTATGGGTAAAAGTGCTCAATATTAGATAGAGCACAAGTAAATATAAAAGAGGACACTGAAGTCAACACAGCAACAATAGTCTATTTTATGCTTTAATACAATCTTCAGGCCATGTGTGTTGTGTGAGCAGAAGATATGCTCCATTTATGTCTGATATTGTGCATTTTTTACCCATAAATAGACTTTTAACACACGTGCAGTGTGCATGTGTGTGCGCGCGTATATTTTACCATAATATATTAAGGGAGCGAAGGTGTATGAAATTTCCCAAAATCTAACCAAACGACCAAACATCAGAATTATTTTTAGAATACCTACATGGCTCGACAGAAAATTTTTCAGTAACTCCTTGTATAAAGGGCCTGAAGTAAATGGTTATATATTTGTTTTTAAGTGACTAATATTTTTCTTTAATGTACAATGCTATCTCTTGTATATAAATATATACAAGCTAGGAGAGGAAAAGTAAAGAATCAAGAATTGAAACAAACTTACAAATAACGTCAAAAGTCAATTCGTACTCCACCCTTGACAGTGACAGAAAGGAATAAAGAAAAAAAATGAAAAAGAGCATGGGACAAAATCTAATGTGGTACTATTCTGTCATATGATGCCAATTGGTATCTAAGTATTCCAAAGTAGTGAATGCAAAAATCAGATCCTGGAATTAGAGATGCTTTTGAGTTAATGACACTTTAAAGAGGCGCCAGCCAAAACCATGAGAAAAGGAAAAGACTAAGGAAGTTCTTGGAATTTGTAAAATTACAAAATTATTTGGAGTAAAAATAAGTCAACTGACATTGACGGATGTAGGTTTTTAATAGATTCATCTCGTAAAAAGGGAGTGGAGAGGGAGGAAATGAAAGGGGAGAGAATTAAAATATTCAAATAAACTAAATTCAAATATTAATATAAGTAAATAATGTTTTATAAATTAGTATAAAGGTTAAATTTTGTCTGTGTGTCCTCACTTTAAATTGGTTGAATAGCTTGTATCATTAACACGTAAACAATCATTTAGTTATCAGCCTTTTATATATACCATAATTCCCTATGTATAATACACATTTAAAAAAAAGAAAAAGAAAGGAAAAAAAGAAGCAAAGTTAGGGGTGTGTATTATGCACAACTACAAAAAAAAAATCTTTAAAAATTGCCGTTCCATAGGTCGATTTCAGTTGTGAAATGACTACTCACCAGAAACATACGACAATTTGACACTAACATTCAGCGATTGCGACCTCATAAAGATGTCAAATACAATCATATGTACCTAACAATACTTACAAATGTAAAATAAAATAAAGAATTACCTTAAAACTAAATTAGAATAATATTCTGTTTAAAACCATGTTTTTTTTTTATAAGAGTAGGAAATGCTGGCCGTAATGAGATTGAAGAGGTGCAATTTATAGGGTTTGATTAACAAACACGTGTGCGTATTATACGTGAGTAGAAGCATTTACCCCACAGTTTCAGCACAATTTTAGGGGTGAGTATTATGGATGAAGGCATATTATACATGGGGAATTACAGTAATACTAATTGCAGTAATAACATAAGTGGTAACATTTAATTTGTGCTACAGTTTTTATAAGCATATTTTAATAAGTATTTCATCTGTATTGGTTATTTTTAATTCAATTTTTTAAAATTTCTATATATAAGCAATGTGCCTGTTGATAAAGTTTTTTTGTTTTCTCGTTTTGTACAGAAAGAACTTATTTCAGCCTTGTCAAAAGTCAGTTGTAAGTAAAAAAAAAAAAAAAAAAAGGTGTTTATATTTAAAGAAAATCTAAAATAAATATTATCTTGGCTCCCTAAAATAATTTTTTTTTTTCAACTGGATACTGTTTTTTAATATTACAATATTTACAGATTTCTATAATTTTAGAACTATCAACTATACTTTTAATCTTATATTGTTGTGGCTTGCCATTTCATATTCCAACAAATTACTCAAGTGGAGCCCCCCACCACCAATTTACATAATTATCTAATTAAATCAAAATCATCTGTTTAGTTAGATTTTCTTAAAACTAATGAATTATTTAAACAAGTAAAAGAAAAATAGTAAGTTTACTGAATTAGTTATTATTATTAATAATACAAACATTGGATAAATTATTCAAATAAGCAAAAGTCTGCTGAAATAATCTGAATTATTAATAGGAAATTTTGTTTGAATTTCTGGAACGAGGTGTTATTATTTACACTATTTATATTTGAACTATTGTCCTTATCTTCATCTTTATCATAACGTTTCGGCATTGTGTCTGCCGTCCACTAAAATTCCTCAGGTGTATATGAATTTAAGTAACCAACAGGGAATTCTGAGTTGAATTCTTTATTTAATCTACAGTTTCACTGTTGATTTAAATTAAGTTTCACTGTTCATGTCTAAGGATATTGTCTAGTTCTTATTTTATTTAACACTGTTCAGTTATTGCTCACCCATTTCATTAATAGAAATGTTTGTAGTATGAAGTTAATGAAATATTAATTATAAGTGTGTGGTTTTTTTTTTTTTGGTTTTTTTTTGCTGGTTAGTCTTTTTATTAGCATATCCATTACAGGTTTACCAATGAGAGCTTGCTGAATAATGTTTTCCTTGTGCTTGTGGCGAGATGAAAGTAACAACTGTTTATATTCTAACTAGTAATCAGCCAGTATCATTTTCCTAAATGTCGGGTAAGTAATGACAAATGAGTGGACATAATTTTTTAAAATATTAGAATTCTATAATTTTAGACCGAGCCATGTAAGATCTTATATTGTTGTCACCTGTCATAGCACATTAATAAAAATTAGTCAAATGAAGCTAAAAATTATGAAATTATCTAAATAAGTCAAGATAATCTTTTTCATTAGATTTTATTGAAACTTAAAAAAAAAAAAAAAAAAACTTTAAACAAATGAAAAAAAAATAGTATAGGATGAGGAGTTATCGTTATTTATATTCAGACTATTGTCCTCATCTTTGTTGTTATTATCACCTGATCGCCTTCTGCCTGAATTTCTGGGATGAGGAGTTATCATTATTTACACTATTTACATTCAGACTATTTGTTGTTATCACAATGTTTTGAACATTTTGCCTTCCAACCTTCATCAGGTGTATATTGATCTGGATAACCTACAGGGAATTTCAAACTGAACTCTTTAATCTATGCGAGTCGACTGTTCTCATGCCCATGTGTTGTTCATATTTTTAGTACTGCTTAAACAGTTTCTACAGAGTCCAAGTACACACTGCCCAGCCTAGGGATCAAAATCGCAATTACTATATCAACAGGTTCACAAACTAATGATTTAATCTACCAGCCATATATAGCAAGTTTGCTTAATTATGTTTTATTATTAATAAAAACATCAGAAAATTATTCAATTAAGTAAAATAACATGATCTGTTGATCATACTTATTATAAAACCCAGGTTGTGCGTGTGTGTGTGTGTGTGTGTGTGTGTGTCTGTACGTTTATATATTGGATCGGATTTCCTACATTTTTCAACCAATTTCAACAAAACTTCACAGGACTATGTAAAATTACCTTGTGGTGGTTCTGACAGCGCCAAAAATTGGAAAAACAATTGTTTTTGCACAAAATCAATTTGAAAACACGATTAAGAGGCATCGCTTTCACGGAATGAAAGGGGGACAACTCGTATCAAGTTATACTTCTTATAAAACCCAGGTTGTTTGTGTGTGTGTGTGTGTGTGTGTGTGTGTGTGTGTGTGTGTGTGTTCATTTATATATGGGATCGGATTCCTACATTTTCAACCGATTTCAACAAAACTTCACTTTTTTTTTGGCAGGTAGTGTTTCTTATTGTCTTGCACACTTTTTTCTTTTTTTACATTCAGAATGCTTTAAAATTCCATTTACAAGACAATTGTTTATAATAAAATTCTATTCAATTGGTAGACTCATAACGATTGAAAACAATGTTTTTTGTTTGAGTTTGACCAATTAAAAAAAAAAAAAAAAAAAAGACATGACATGTCCGTCAACCCTTAAACAATAATCTTTGTCAATTTTATTTTTCCATCTTTATGATGGCCGATACTTGATATATCTTTTACTGTTCTATCACCGGGGCAACGCCGGGCTCTACTGCTAGTTATTAAAAAAAAGTGTTTGCAAGACTGGTTTTTGATTAGTATAAGAAAAAAAAAAAATGTTACTGAGAAGGAGAAAAACATTAAACCCTCATGGAGAATGAAAAGGGCTCAGCTATTTACACTGATGCCTGCCTCTTTGACTTAGAAGAACAAAAATAGAATTTTAATAAAAGTTTCAATATTATCATAAAAAGAAAAATTTAGAAATCTGAAATGAATTGAAAAAAAAGCTTAATTAAAATGGCACATCAATGTTATCATTAATGACATATAGTGGTATCTTACTTTTAACTATTATGTTAACATTATATTTCTTTTTATAAATCCAATTTCTTTCATATTGTAACAAGGCATTGGTTAGAATGTTAAGAGAGGATCTTGGAGACTGTTTCCTTCTGACCTCTAATATATTGGAGCTAAATTAAAACTGACAAGAGAGAGATAAGTGAAACCTATTTAATTTGAGAGGACAGAGCAGAGAGACACTTTTGGCTGGTAATTTCAAATATATACAGCCAATTTATCGTTTATCCAATCCATGCAGGATTCTCTAACAACAACATCAATTAATAATTATATCATTACAATAGTTTAGCTGTAGTTACTCTTACAGAAAATAGTAAAAATTAATATTGCAAAATAATGGCTACAGTACATTTTACATTATATATATATATGTATATATCCTAGGTTGAAGCAATCGGACGTCTAGCTACACTAAGGAACTATGATACAGTGAAACAGTCTGTTTGTGAATGACTATATATATATTATTATTTTCAGATAGAGTATAGAAGTAAAGGTTTGATTTGGTTTGTTTTATGGCATATCAACCTCAATTGGTTATTTAATGCTGATAAAATTTTATTGCTGATAATATTTTTTTTCCTTCAAAAATCTATTTCTGGTAATATTTATTTTTTTCAAAAATGTATTGTTGGTAATAATTTTTTTACAAAGTATTTCTGGTATTAAAACCTATTTTTACGTTTTCATAGTGTTTTGACCCCAGTTTGGGGTTAACTATTTGCCCATAGCTGGGACCCCAACAGGTGCTACCATTCCTAACAATTAAGAGGTGGTTCCATGCTCCTCTAAACCTGATCAGAGGCCTTGCTGTTGAACGTAGTTTACCATCTTACCCAGGATGGTTGCAGTAAAGGAACAAAATGAATAAAAAGGTGAGGAAAAATTATTAGCTGATGCATTTCATCCTCTAAGAGACTTTTATCAAGGTAATGTAGATATTTATTTTGTTGTATGTGTTTATATACAAAAGTGAGGATGTCATTGGTTTATCAAGGTTTGAAAACATTTGTCAATTCACTCAATTCAGTGGTGAAAATTAATCACATAAATTGAATATGAAAACAGTAAAAAATTAGCATGTTACTATGTATCAGGGTACAGACATTTTGATCCACCTTCATATATGTGGAAGCTAATTAAT